TAAGGTTTCTATATTTTTATTAATTTTTGTAATTTATTATATATTAATAATAATAAGTAATATAGAAAAGGGATAATATAACAATTGGAAGCTACATAAACTTTTTTTGACATTATTTTAATTGTTTTGATGAAAACTTTCTAATAATATATTTTGTTATAAAAAATAATTATTTTATTATAATTTAATAAATAACATAAATTAATCAAAATATATAAACAACTCATTATGGATAAATTAGCCAGTTTACTTATTCTGTTTTGTCCAGTTCTATTTTACCAAGCGCTAAACAACTGCTTTGTTCTGTTCTGTTCTATCTTGTCCTGTTTTTGCAGAACACCAGACGCACCCTAAAAATCCCAAGTTTTGAATCATACACATGATAAATTGTTTAACAAATTATCGTGATGCAAAAATTGCAAATAACAGTTGGTTTTACCTTATCAAACATTTTCTTTGTTAACATGATCGGTGAGCATACCCAACCATCATATGAAATATATGGTAAATGAGATACAAAAATGAGCGTACTCATTCATATCGTATTTTGAAATATATACTTTTAAAATACACATTAAACTATTTGTAGTCTATATATATATATATATATATATATATAATATAGCAGTGAACAAATTTTTAAAAAAGTAAATTACGCTTTTGATTCTTGTGGTTGTCATTTAACATCAACTCTCATTCGTACGTTATAATAATTACACTTTTGATCCATCTGACTAACTTCTTCTAAAAGATCATTAAGTTAGAGGTTTTTTAATCATATTCGCCTTTTCTTTAACTTTCTAAATGTATATTCTTTTTCTTTTCCATAAACAATGGGGACCATCCTCCCCTTTCCTCTCAGTCGACCCCAACTCCCTTCTTCACTGACACACTTCGACCCCTTACGACCCTCGATGATAAAGCAACCCTACTAGTGACAACCCCTTCTCTGATATAACTCAAACCCAACTGCAACCCCACACTAGTCGGTGATGCAAAATCAAAGAATCTAATCCACCAGATTTGCAACTCACCTACAATCCAAACTCACGCCCCACACATTGTCCCCCTTCTTCGACGAGAGACAAAACACAACTAATTCAACCAAAAGAAACTTAAATAAAAAATCAAAAGATAACCCCCGAATCATCTACCAAATCAAACCTAAACCACCCAACCTCAATGGCGGACTTGGTGTGTAAGGAGTAGAGGATGAGCCACCATGAAAAAGAATTACAACATTAGACACTAAGGGGGTGTTTGAGATTGTTTATTTGAAACAACTTATACTTTTATATAAAATCACTTGTCAACTTATTATAAGTCAGAAGACTTTAACTTTTTCAAAAACTACTTATTATCGGTTTGGCACCGATATAAGTTGTTTATCCAAACACTCAAAAATGCTTATTACTGGTGTCACACTGGAATAAGTCAATAAGTTATTTTTATAAGCAATCCCAAACACCCCCTAAAATAAATAATTTTCAAACTATACATCTTTAAATATGCATTTTGAAAAAGTATGTTATGCAAAATAGAATTAATAAAAATACGTTTATTTTTTTTATAATTGGTCCTAAATATAATTAAAAATTTAAAATTAATTTTACTCATAATAAAATAGAGTACATAAACATTTAATTTCCTCTCCATTTCCACCGCATGATATGCATATATTTAAGAAGACAAAACCCATTTAGCTGGAAATTATTTTTCATATTGGAAAATAAAAATATTTAATTTTGCTAAATATTAAATTCTATTAGAATTTATTATATGCCACGATAAATCAAAATCATCAATTAATGTAACGCATCGTCATTGAAAAAAAATTCTATTTTTGGATCGAATTAATTGCTGAAGTTATAAAATTATAAATTAATCTGCAGTTGTCTTGAAATGGAAATTTTTAAGAGTTGGTTACATTAATTGAGAAATCTGATTTAGGGGCCGTTTACCCAAATATTTACCCGATAAGTACTTATCAATAGGAGTCAACATTATACTATATTTTACCAGATAAGATTGTAATATATTAAAACGGAATCATATGCAACAATTTACCCGGGTAAGAGTCCTCACCATCACTTACATGATACGACTCTTTATTCCTATCATCGCTCTTATCCGGGTAAGATTTTTAGCCTTTGCCATATGCATCAGGTGAGGAAAGTTACCCGATCTACACTTACCGGGTAAGTATTTAGTAAACAGCCCCGTAATGTTATAAATCATATAAATAAATGCAAATTAAGTTTTAGTTTACTATGATATATCAAACTTTATTATGAGAGAATAACATATTGCATACTTTGACCAAGTTTGTTGTCATTATGTTGCTTGATTCATAAAAGTTGAATTATTAGGTAAAATAATTTCAATAGTTAGGTACCGTTTACCAAACACTTACATAGGTGAGACTTACCAAATCACATTACCTCATCGGATGAATATGGTAAGAACTAAGAATCTTACCCGGTAAGAACGAAACAAGAACCACCCGGTAAGTGAGAGCGACGACTCTTACCACGATAAGCACTTGCCGGGTGAATTGTTGCATACAATGTCGTTTTGATGGATTAAAATCTTATCCGGTAAATAAATATAATGTTAAATTTTACCGATAAACACTTACCGGATAATTGTTTGGTAAACGACCCCTTAATGTTTGTGTGTGTCAGGTTTACTAGTTCATATATGAAACCAAGTTATTTGTTTGAGATAAAAACTTAGTACCATTCTATCATTTAAAATTTAAATTCAAATGTTAGTAGTTTGAATATTAATTTATGTTAATTAAATATTTTTATTTTCAATTTTTGATGACATAAAAAGATTTAAATACATCGAGGAAAAAAACGATCTGTTGATAAGAGCCACAGTTTTGTTTTGAGAGAAAAAAAAACACATGAAACCGAAAGAAGAAAACATAAATAAAGGGTAGGACTTTCAACGAGAAGGAAGTAGGGCACACATCTACAATGGTGCGGATACGCCTTCAACAGATGAACAGGGAGAACATTCTACAGAGTGTGTTATTTAAAGGGTTTCTTTGGAGTGTTTCTCATAGGTTGTATGCGTTTGAAGTTTTCAGAAAAACAACTGATTGAAAGGTAAGAACGCCTCTTTCTTGATTGACCACTTGACCCACTAAGTCACTAGTTGATCGAATAAATCATAACCAAACAGTATTATATATCTTACCGAGTAAGCTATACAGTTTCAGCTCAATAATATACAACTTAACAACCCTTTGTTCTTATGTTAAAACATCTCAAAAAATTATCTAATGTCGGCAGTGAGCCTCGTAACAAAAGCCCGTTGTCATTGGGCTTGAAAGTATTTATTTAAATAAAAAGAAAATGATTTACTTTTTTACAAGTTTCTGTTGAAGTATTGATATGATCCACTTATGGGGTGTTTGAGATTGCTTATAAAAATTGCTTTTTAACTTATTTTAGTCTGTCACCGGTGATAAGTTGTTTTCTGGTGTTTGGATAATAAAAAAAACTGCTTATACCGGTGCCAAACCGGTAATAAGCTGCTTTTGATAAGTTAATCCTTCCTGACTTATGAAAAACTGATTATTACCAATTTACAATTTTAACCTTGTTTTATTTAACTCCGGTTTGATATCACATAAGTTAATAAGCACTTTTACAAAAAAACATAAGTTGTTTTAAATAAGCAATCCCAAACACCCTTTTAACCCCCGTTTAATTTCACCACATATAAAACAACAAATTTTTGTTCTGTATCTTGTACCAAATGCTCTAAAAGATGTCATATGAAGGGGCCCCTATACAACTTTTTATGTTTTTCACAATATGCACTTTAGATATAACATATGTGTGTGTGTATATATATATATATAATATGAAAGTAATGTGAGAGGCAGAAATGGCATATGGTGAAATAAAGTGTAGATTGATACAAGTGATGAAAGTGGAAGTAAGACAAACACAATGTACCATGTTGTTTATATGTGTAACCTTATGTCCATTGGAGCATAAATCAAGAACCACCCTTCCTACTTGTTTCCAAATTCACACACTTGAAAGAAAAAGAAAAAAAACAAAGTTATATATGAATATGAAAGAACAATAAGAGATGCCCCCACTACTTTTTGTTCTTTGCTTCAATATGGTTACATGGGTTGTCATTGTAGTAGACCTTTATCATTGTCCTTTGCACCAAGGACCACCACCATTTTCCCTTTTCCTTTTTTATGCATAATAACTCTTCCATCATATAATCACCACTAATCCACTCAAAAATCATCACCATGTTTCCATACCCATCCAATCTTGGTTGGGTCGAATGACCGTTAAAAGAAGGCTAGACGGTATATGGTAATCAACACTAATGTTGATAGATCTTCTGATCTTGGTTGGGTTGAATGAAAATGAATCTCAGGCTTTGAATATGTTAGAATATGTGGAAATCTTTGGAATCTCTCTCTAAAAGAGCCCTTGTAAAGAGAGGAATGTTCCTAGATAGATTTAGGCTTGATGGTCCGTGTCTAGCAGGTATGGGACTCCAACACGCCCTCTCAAACAAAGGCTATATGACACCCTCAAGAATGAAGGCGAAGAGTGCGTGAAGTCCCTATGTAGTGCTAGACCCTGACTACAATACCATGTTAGAATATGTGGAACTCCAACACACCACCTCAAATGGAGGCTAGATGGCACCCTCAAGAATGGAGGATAAAGATTGTGTTTGAGCCCTCATCTGGTGCTAGACCTTGGATCTGATATCATGTTATAATATGTGAAACCTTTTGAATTCACTCTAATAAACAAAACACCCATTCAAGAATATGCTTAGAGAGAGAGATAAAGAATTGACACATGGACTTGTGGTGATGAATATGCAGAGGGATGTAAATTTAAGGCCAAAAAGGGACCTGGGAATAATACTGATTCCCATTGTATGCACCTTCTTGTTACAGAATCTCTAAGCTTCATAACATTCACTGTTTCTCCAATAAATCTCTTCAAAACCAAGCCCATCAATCCACATTAATTAAAAAATTGAATAGTATACCAACTTGATGATTAATACTTACAATGGTGGGGAATGGATTATATATATCTACTTCCATTATGTGTTTTCATGCTGTATACAAATCTATAACTCAAGAATCTTTTAAAGACCAATGCAAAAAGATTTTATTTGTGCAGAAGATACCTGAACCGAAACTCATAAGGAATAACTCGAAGACAATGTGAAAGGGGTACGCTCTTCTCTCTCTCGAGGCACTTCATTGCTTCTTTTCCGACTTCATTTGGTAACTGAAGGCATACCCAATCTAGCAATGAGTCCATATCTTTGGCGAAATCAAGCATATACCAATCCAACAGTTTTGGGATTGCAACCATTTTCTTTGCGGTTGAAATCCCAATTGCAGCCTGTAAGTAATCTTTTTTCGCGACTTCAAGTTCATTTTCAACTTCAGAGCCGGTGTAGATTCTTACCTTCATTTTCAGACATTTCAATGAGGTCATGGGTGTGAATCGGTTCTGATATTTGCTTTAAATTCAACAACAGTTTGCGATCTTTTCTCATAAATGTTTATAGTACCAAGAATCTGATTAATGAACCTTATCTAGAACTTACAGCAGGGGAGGACCAGCTTCCACAGGAGAGAGCAAACGTCACTAGCGGTTCTGATAACTCCAACCCGAACACACTTCTTGCAGTTATCTCATCATTCTTTACACCCTTTGTGAAAGTCTATGCAATTTCAAGAAACCACATAAATATCAAATGTTTGGGATCGTAAAAAATGTCATTTTTACAAATACACCCTTTATACATATTTTTCTCATTTTTGCTTGTGAGGGTATTCTTGTAAGGAAATTCACTTACGTATTTTGAATGATAAGGGAGTCGCAATATGAAATGTTCGATGCTGATTGCGTTTAAAAAATGCCCTCCAACGTTTATTGTTGCCTGATGAGTATGAACAAATCATATATACATATATCTATGCAAATGAGTGTAAGTGATTCTGTGTGTCGCATTACCTTCTGCATTAGTTGAACAACCATCTCAGGACTTTCTGGTATACCATGTTCAAGAAACGCCTGATAAATTGCATGATCCAAATATCTTGAGATTAGTTTTCTCAATATTTCAGCAATTTGCTAACAAAAAGAGAGAGAAGTGATTCTGAAAGATCTAACTTACATTCATCATGCACGAATTATAAATATTGATCCAGAACGCAAGCTTTTCTTGGTGAGTGAGACTTGTTAGATCGACGGATGCAAGTTTCCCAAGTAGGAGCCTGGAGAATCAAGAAATAACAATCAGAATTCGGTCCCAAAAATACAAAAACATGAAAAAAATTCAGCACTTACTTCAGTCTTTGTATCAAAAACACAGAATTCGTTGTTCGGTTTTTGTTGATGGAAGTTGCTTCAATAGCATATAAATGTTTATACTGACCAATGTCCCTCTTCTCGAATTTGCAAGAAATGTCATAAGGATCCTTAAACTCTGTTTCTTTGAGAGTTTCAATAGATGTCAGTGAAGGTAGCATTTCTGTGATACTTCTACTCCTTGTTGAGCTCATTCGTACAAAAATGTTCATCAAACATTTTAGAATACTTTCAGAAATCTTATTCGGATCATCATCTCCTGATAACAAGCCTTTTTCTTGAATCACAAAGGTTTTTCCCTCTAAATATGCACCCTCCATTGCTCTACCTTCAAACTGAACAATTAAATTATTGCAATGCATACAAATATGTTCAACATAAAACCAACTTATTATTTACTAAATTACCTGTAATTTTTTAGGATCTAAACTCTTCCCTGTTGATTTAGAATCAACTGGTGATCTCCTTGAATTGGGAGTTTGAGATTTTGGATTTGGCGATCGCTGCTTGATTTTAGCGGCAGTTGTGCATGCTTGTTTTTCTTTCCCATCAAACAAAGATATAAACGTCAGATTTTTTTTCACTCACCACTCATCTTTCAAGAAACTAATATGCCCAAGAATTACCTGAGATCATAGGTGAATTTTCAATAATGGGTGTTGATAAATTGGTCTCAAGTTGAGGTGATAACTTGGAGGCTTTGTGTTCTTGGCCATCAAGTGCATTTTCAAGATTCCTCTTAGAGGATGAAATGTAGACAGCTTCTTGATATAGGCCTTGCCTAAAATGAACCACTTGTTCTTCAAGTCTTACAACTTCTTCTTCCAAAACAGCAACTTCTGCTAGAAGCTCCAATGTCTGCCCATACCCATGATAAAAATCATAAAAATTCATGAAAAATGGCAACATTGATTGATCGAAAAATGAGTAATATCTCGATTAAAGTACTAACGGAAGGAGGAAGATAAGGAGGTAATCGCGGAAGAGCTCCTAAAGGTCTGGTAAATGCCCTCTCTAAAGCTCTATGAACATTCTCTTCATGTCTAAGCCTCTTCCTTAGCTTCTCCACCTGAAATAAATTGGAAAAAAAAAAAAGAATAAATATTGAATTGAATTCAATAATTGAGAAAATGAATTGAATACCCTACTAAGAAAATATTATCAAAAACTAAACAAAAGTCAATGGTGACAGTAAGGTACATCTTGTTGCAATGCCATCTTTCTCTCTCTCACTGAACCTCTTCTGGTTGTGCTTGTGCTTGTTTTCTCAGCCTCCATTTGCATTTGCTTATCAACCTTTTTTTTGATATTTTATAAAGAAAAAGAAGCAAATAAAGAACATCACAATCAGTTTCAACAAGAAAAGAATCATAATGCAATAAAGAAAAGACACACAAACATTTCATCAAACACCTAATGTGGATAAGATTTAAAGTGAAAGCAACTTTTGCAATTATGTAAGGAACACTACACGGTAATCCATAATTACTTTTAGTTCATTCCTCAGAAATCAAATTGAGAACCAAAATCAAAACCCGATATAGGATTTGATGCCAAACCGAAAACCCATCTGGGAATTACGTCAAATATGAAGATTTCTCGATACAAATTGAAGATAATAACGTTCAAATGAAAAGGACTGATCACCCATTTGGGAACACCAAATAATTGAATTACCTTTGGATCTTTGAATGGAGTTTTCATGGGCCTCAAATTTGTCTTTACTCTGGTATTTATCTTTGTAGATAATCGCAACAACTTAACATTAATGAACTCTGCAAAGTCGCAGAAAACAGAAAATCAAAACATGATCAAAGAAAACAGAGTATTAAATGAGGACACTAAAGAAAACAGAAGAATCAGACCTTTAAAGGAATGGGTCGTCGTTCTTCCTCTTCCCCAAAACCAATTTCATTCTCTTTACGAGTATTAATTACTACAACTCCAATACCGAAAGAGAAACTAAACGCGGGAAAAAGCTGAAAGCTGTTGTACTCAGGCCTCAAAATTCCAATCTTCAAGAAGAAAGTGCCTGCCTCGATTTGTGCGAATCTTATATACACATAAGAAAGTCCGAAAAAAGAACACCCAATTAAGCATTAGCTTTGAAGATATGAAAACCCAGAGAAAGAAGAAGAAGAAGAAGAAGAAGAAGTAGTTATACAACAACTATGGAGTATTATATATAAAGATGAAAGTGGTGTAAACAACTGTAAGCTTCTTCCATTAATTAAACCAGAGAGAGAAAGAGCGGTGATGATGGATTGTGTAAAAGGGTAGATGCGATTTGGTTTGTGTTCGTATATATATATACGGTATTACAAGAAGGATTTTACGAAGGGGGAGAAGAGCCATCATGAGCTAACGTGCGCACTTCTCTTTTTCAGTGGAAGCATAAGCATGATGGACCTTTTCCTCTTTAGATCCATTTTTTGCTACTACGATCATGGGATTATAACAAAATCTTGGTTGCAAATCTATCTCTTTTTTATTATTATTATTATTAACAAAAAAAAATCTAAAAAAACTCAATGGACTTTAGTGTTTTGAATGATTAAGTCATTGGAAATTTTTTTGAAACAAATAACTTTTTGGACATTTTAAAACCTGTTAAACAACCCATTGGACTTTCTAAAACGATAATATGATAACATTAAAATTTTAGAGATGTAACTTTTAATTAAAAATGAAATGAACGAGACGGTGGTGACGTCTTATTTTGATTCATCCGAAGCATTTATTATTTGATCGTCTATCCTCTTTGTTGCTTTTCATTTCGTATTTTAAACGTAGAAAGTTTGTTTTATTTTATTATTCTTCTGTCTTCTGTCGGGTCCAAAAATTAATAATAGATATATTAATCGATTATAGTTCCTATTTTTTATTGTATTTGATAAATGTTTTTTAATGTCAGTTTATTAAATACTTATCCGCTAAGTGTTTATGAAAATATTCATCAAAACAAACATGAAGGTATATTTCTATAAAATATTAATTTTATGAAAATCATAATATTTATATATAAATTATTATTATTTAACTATTTATTAAATATCTAAAATAATTTATAAAACAAAATACAAGTATATATACCATCGCTTTATTTTGCAACAATAATATAATAAACAACCAAAAAAAAAAGAATTAACATAATTAATTTCCATATAAAAAATTTTAAATTTTTGTGAGATAAATCACAAGGTAGTGTCTGATTAGTTTGAGCTTGGCTCCAAATGTCAAAAGCACTAGAAGGTCCCAGATTCAAATCCAAGAAGGATTAAAAATCTCTTTGTGGCCATGGAAGTTTAAATGCGGTAACTTCGAGTTATCTGTAAAGTAGGTGGTCAATTGTGAGATAATTTTTAAATACAAAACATGAGAAGAAATTATGGTTTAATGATACAATTATTACACACAAGATTGAAGTGTTTAAAGGCAACGAATATTATTTGGATCAACGTTATCTAAAATACATTTATTTAAAACATTAATCTAAAATAAAATTCATTGGGATCCATCATTTTACGAAATAAAAATATTAAAATAATGTATTTTATGTGTTGGATCTTGGGAGCATTTTATTGCCTTTAAAGTTTTAACTCACGTCATAAAGGGAGGTGCCCTTTGTCGACTACTACTTGTATTCTTTTAAATTTGAAGGTTGAGTAACATTTGTCTTCATCATTTTAATCCATTTTTATTTCGTTTAATTTTGCGTGAAAACCGTAAACTTCATTTGAAGTACGGGGTTGTTTATTAAATGTTTATCGGGTAAACGTTTATCAGTAAGAGAAATCACTCTTGTTCACGTTATCATGTAACATTCTCGGTTATCAAAATGGATTGTTGGTAAACGTTTTGAACCAACTAAGAGATGGATCTCAATTCTCTTGTCTGTCCAAGATGTGGTGATGAAGCGGAGACCGTGGATCATGCCTTGGTCATCTGCAGAGATGTAAAAACAGTTTGGAAGGAGATGTTTAGGTGGTGGCACTTAACGAACGTTGAGCCTACCTCAGTTCTCGAGATCACTACAGCAGGTTCGCATCTGGGCAGGAACTTGGCTAGAAACGAAACACGGACAACAACGTTATGGTCGAGCCTATACATGATTTGGTGTTCCTCTTTGTTGTACTGTTTTTGGTTGGTAATACAGTGATTAGGTTTGGCGTTATTTCAAAGCATTAAGGATAGAATTTGGTTGGCTTCAGTATTATGCATTTCATTCCCGTTGCAACCTAAATCGATGATCTTGAGATGATTTATTACATATAGGGGCAGGTTTAAATGAGAAAACGATCAATTTGCAAGAAGACAAGAAGGAATATGGGCTACACAATCCATTAATTAAAAAAATACCATAAATAAAAAATGAAAAATAGTTGTAGAAATTAGGATAATTATCATTTTGACTTGGATAAATCCTTAAAAATCTCATTATATCATTTAGATTTTATTATCCTTGTATATTTGGTCATTCAAATATTTAGGATTATGATCACATATGTAGGATTGAGGATGAGTTAAGCGACGATACCAACCATGTAAAGTTGTACGGACGCCAAATAGTGTTGTTGGTGAGGATGGGGCTGATGCAAGCGGTGGTTGGAGGCAGTAGAAGCCATGACCAGTGACCCCTCGAAGGAGGGGTTTGACGTACAAATTCTTAAGAACACAGTAATCAGGATAGAATTCCATGTATGTGGCATTATCACGAGTGATTTTAGAAACACTAAGAAGGCTTTTTGTGAGTTTAGGAACGATAAGAATGTCTTTTAAGTGAACAAAGTTAGACATAGCAGGCAAAATAGTAGATCCATAATGCGAAATAAACAATGGGTTATGTTACCAACATATAGTTTGTCGTTCCCGCGATACTCATCTGAGATGGTTAATTTGTTTAGATCAGGAGTGACATGATCGATGGCGCCAATATCAAAATACCAAGAGGGATCAATAATAGAGTTTCAAGTATAAATCATGTCATTCATATAAACCAATCAATTGAGATATTTATGGAAACGACGAGGGTTTGTTTATTACGATCTGAATAGTTACGTAAGATTATTAAAATTCATTAATTAAATCAACGTTTTATATTAAGAAATAACCGATATATTTATGAAACTAGATATTCATTAGACTAGATGGACAGTTGAGATTGATTTGTATGGTTTATATGAATGACATAGTACAATAATCAAATGAGAACCACAAAAGTTACAAGCATATGAGAACCGATATAAAAATATCTTTTTTACACGTTTAACTTTTTCTTTGGTTCATGTGTGTGTGTTTATGCGTGTGTGTATATATATATATATATATATATATTATTTTGGGTCATTAAATTGTATTGTTACTTGGGTGTATGTTTTATAGGAAAGAGAAGTACAATATATGATGATTGATGAAAGATGTAGTCTTAATCACATGGATGCCAACTAAGGCGCTTTCAATTCTCCCTTCAACAATACAAATTAATGTCCCAAATTCTCTACATTTTAACACTTCATATATTACCACATTTAATTGCATTCAAGACTTGGTTACAAGAGGATTTTTATTTCTTTTTAGATTTAACTTGAGACCTTCAGGTACTTTTAACCTTTGAAGCTAAACTCAAACCAATCAAGCACCATCCTTGTGGGTTTTTTTTTTTTTTTTACCTTTTAACTCCCTTGACTTTTATTTGACATGTTTATTATTCCATTCGTTTACGATCATAATTTATATTTAACTACAAGATGTAACATCTCATCCTCCAATTAACTCGTAATTAAATATTTCATTTTAATATATTCTTAAATTAGGTTAAATACTACAATTAATAATAATTTGACAGCATATACGTTTTAAGATAACTACATAGCAACATAACCATATTTAACTATGCTTCTTACCACCCGTCATCATTTTTATATCTTAGAAACATATATATAATATACGTTCACAAATTAAATTGATATGACATCCTTAGTACATAACGATCCATGCCAGTGTACCTAAACTCAGCATGCGTTACCGATTTCTGTTTGCTACCATCATCACCTGATCATCGTCATGATGGTCTGTCACCGTCACCACCACGGAACCACCACGGACACGGTGGTGACCACCTAAAAGGAGAAGAGGAATGATAGGTGGAAGATGGCATGATTTGGAGGTCGACATTATGATGGGCGGTCATACGGGTGATGTATTTTAGACACGAATCAATTATGAAAACCCATGGACCACTTGCCAACCACGTGACCAAGAGACAACAAAATTGCAATACCACCCATGCATTTGGTAAATAGACACATGATACCCCTATTGTTTATTAATTGACACAACAAACCCTCTCATCCAAAATATTTTACGGAAGCCCTTTTCTTGTTTTGTTAAGATCGAAAAGGAATATTTACGGTTTTAGTAAGTGATTCGACTCGATAATACTTGTACTCGTGATTCTAACTGCGAAAACATTTAATGTTTTTTAAATAAATATAAGAAATATAGTATAATTGATTTTAAAATTGTAATATAATAAATTACAGTTACAGTTGTAATTGTAATAAATATACGTTTGACATTCAAAATTATAATAAAACAACTTATATAAAACAAAAATAATATTAATTAACTCCCTACTAACCACTCTTCTTTTAAAGTTCACACCACTTCAATCACCAACTACAAAACCACCCAAAAGAACACATTTTCTAAGAACCCATGTGTAATATATTATGATTTCATATCAATATGTGATAATATATATATATATATATATATATATATTTTGATGTTAAAACTATAAAAAAGTTTATGAATTGTGGATATCAAATTCAGTAAAAACCTTAAATACAAGCTCTCTAAAATTTCTTATATATATATATATATATATATGTGTGTGTGTGTGTGTGTTTTTATAAAAAAAATGCTCTTGAAAAATGTCAAAGATGATTGAGATAAGTTATGGTCTCAACAAGCTCATTTGTAGGTAAACCACAAGAGTGGTGTCTGATTGGTTTGAGTTTGGCTCCAAAGGTCAAAAGTACCAGGAGGTCTCAGGTTCAAATCAAAAGAAGAATAAAAAATCCCTTTGTGGCCACGGGGGTTCAAATGCGATGACTCCGGGCTATCTGCAAATCAAGTGGTCGCGCTAAGGTTAGTCGACTCGCATAGTGGGTTGGATATCCAGGTTAATCAAAAAAAAATATAGGTAATGAACACTACAAAATTATAGTTCAAAAGCAAAGCGAAAGAATAAAAACGTGGGTTTGTAACAAATGATAGGTTGAACGGACCCTGATAAACTGATATCAACCCAACACACTTTTAGTAGACGTGTATGTGATTATTTACAACAATACAATCATGAACACTCCTCTTTCGAGCGTCCTAACCGTAGAGGCTAGGAACTGTATCT